ATTGCAGTTTTCCGAAAAAAAATACTATGAGATAAATTCCACCAACGCGTCAGTCACCTCTCTCTTTATCTTATGATTAGACATTGTGGAAAAAGAAAATATAAGAGAAAAATTTTTAGTAAATTTGAAATGGTTGAACTGAATCTCAGATTTCGCTAACCGTAGGTGAAGATATACGCGTGTAGGAGTGCTAAGAGTGCTTTGCACAATTGAATTCTTTTCCCGTGATTTAGGCCCTTGATGTCTCTATACTCTAGCGTTGCTGTAGTGATACCAGACTTGTGTGGCGATAGTATATAATCTTTTATGAACCAAATATATATCCATTTACACCCAGGGTGTAAGTGATGCAGCTTCAAGAGATGGATAGGCGCTTAATATTTTATGTCTTATCCCTTATAGCAGATCAGCACAGCTTATCGCTTTACTGTAAGCTCCGAAGATGTATCAATCTAGTCAAAGTGGTAGATCATTGTGCACAGAGACCAAAAGCAATCGAGTGCGCAACACTCTGTGTTAGGTGAAAATTTCACTTGACAGAGAGTGTAAAACGTACGTCTTCGATGACTCTCCATAAGGAGTGTAAGGCTCCCGAGAGAAACTGACTATAAAAATATCGAAAGACGACGGGTTTTGCCCGGCTGACGAGTCTGGAAGGACGAAACACGTGTATCGGGCTGTACAAGATCCACCGTACCAGACCTTTAAAGTTTAGACGGTGCTTGTTTTGGCTGAGCTGTATTTAGGCCCTAATAATAGCCCCGTTCAGCACAATGGCACTATATGGTAAGAAATATTTATCGGAAAGTCTCCTTATAAATCACTCAAATAAAAAAAAGAAACCTCCTAATCCACATTTCCCTTGGTGAAGTACTGTTACTGTTGCTGCATTGGACCAAACCTCTATTTAGGAGCTAGAGATTCCATTAAGTGTACTTTGCGTAGAGAAATCAGTTCAATATTTTCAAAAAACGTAATTTCGTAAGATAAACAGTCGATAAATCATGAAGAAAACCTTGAAAGTCATTGCGACGATTCGGAGTTGAAAACCACTAAACGAGACCTAGTGTTAAAATTGCTTTGATACGGTCATAAGCATGTTAACCACTCCAAGTTTAGCAAATTACTGTCATAATAGTCACAAATAGCAAACTATCAATGGACACTGAAATTTCTGCATACATTGCTTTTGCATTGAATGTTAGTGAAAATCAATGCAATAGTACATAATACAATTTACACTTTGCCTACGGCCACGCGTTAACGGTACCTGCAGGCGCGTCGATTCGCTATGGGTTAAAGGTAATGCGATCAGAGGTACCACCGAATAAAGCTAGGATGTAGTAACGCATAAGCTCTGAGAAGGAGAAGCAACAAAACTTCAGTCAGTTTATTTGAAGAAGAAAAGATGCAAAACGTTTCCGATAGATTGAACAACATCATTTGTGAGATAATATTATTTATTAGTTATGGCGAGGTTAAGCGAAAGTCGTTTTTAGTAGTACATTTAAACACGTTTCTAATCAACAATACGGCATTTTTTCTGCCTTTAATTTCAGCTAAAACAAACTACTTCAGTTAGTGATGGTTAAAAGAGTCTCCATAAGCAATCAGTGAAAATTCAACATAGATACTACGAAATAATAAAAATCCACTTGTGTGTATGAAAATTCTTACAAGATTTTTGAAAATTTTCCGAGTTGGTGAAGAAAGAAATATACCTGAGCGATTTATGAAAGATATTGAGCATGATGAGGCAAAGTGGCCATGACCGAATGTTATGCTCTGAAGTTGATTGCGTGACAAATCTAGAACTCGGACGTTTTTCAGCGATAACAACGTCTAGAAACTGCTTTATCAGTGATGTTATCACCTAGGCCTACCGATTTTTTTAATATTACTAACATATAAAAAGCAAGGCACTCGGTGTTGTTCATTCAATGAAATTCGTTTCGCCCATTCTACTCCATACGTAGCAACGTGAAAAGAAAATAATTGCCTATCTAGCCTATACAATCATTTGACTGAAGCTATATAAGCAGAAAACCAGCAAGACAGTGTTATTGTTCAGAAAGGGCGACCTTCATGGGATCAGCAGCTAATTTCAAGCTGCTTGTTGTCTGTCGTTATAAGCTCTTCACTCGAGTTATTCTAAACGGAATAACATAACACTGGACGAAGTACAGCCATGGGAACAAGCCGGTGTTTGAAGCGAATTTAGTCCTATAAAAGCCATTCATAGATAACAAGATCCATTGACATTTTTCGACAATATGAGAGCCCGCTTCGTCTGGCTTTGATCGATTAGAAGAAGATCCTTGATTCAATAATTCCAAAAAAAAGAATGTCTTCAGCCTAAACGAGGCTGGTACGCCAGGGCCATACACCGGTGTTTTCGGAGGTTTCGGCCTCCTCGTCAGTGCCCCCGCCCCACATTAAGCCCTGCATTGTAGCAAGGAGGGAGGCGTATGTGGTATGTGGTGATGGCATAGTATAACAATGACCTGGTCCATCACCATCAGTCGATGGTTTCGGCTGGTAGAAAAAAAAAAACTAATCCATTGAATCGACTATTTCTAAAACCTCGCAATAAACATCAATAATTCCAAAAAAAAGAATGTTTTTAGCCTAAACGAGGCTGGTACGCCACGGCCATACACCGGTGTTTTGGAGGTTTCGGCCTCCTCGTCAGTGACCCCCCGCCCCACATTAAGCCCTGCATTGTAGCAAGGAGGGAGGCGTATGTGGTATGTGGTTGATGGAATAGTATACAATGACACTGGTCCATCACCATCAGTCGATCGTTTCGGCTGGTAGAAAAAAAAAACTAATCCATTAAATCGACTGTTTCTAAAACCTCGCAATAAACATTCAACAATTCCAAAAAAAAAAAGAATGTTTTTAATAAATGAATAGTTTCTTCTGTATAGCCGTTCCGAGGTGTTATTGATGTTATTTATTGAGTATTAGCGAAGCATACAACAATACAGTCAGTAATGCAGCTTAAATACACAATATTCGAGGTGGCTAACGTTTCGGCGGGTCGCCTTCGTCAGAGCCTGGAAAGATCAAATTGATCCACAATCCACTAAGCCAAAAACCTCCATAACCCTAACAGAAAACGTTAGAGATGTGTTTTGGATCGCATAGTAAAAGCTTCATTCTAAAACACTCACCGTTTTTGATATTTGGGTCTATCAATTATTAATTGAAGACAAGCCGCTTAAGGTCAGTGCATCAGTGGGCTGTGCCTAACTCGGGCCGGAAAAATCAGCCTGAGGTATGGTTCGAGGTCACGCGTGATTATGAGGCACTCCACTTTTCGGTTCATTTTCGGACCTTTGTTATGTATCCAAAATGCTTCTAATGTTTTACGCGCAGATGTTCTTGATTCCTGTGCGAGGATCGTGAATTTGACGCCGAACATTACTCCTGCATGTTTTTGGTCCCTATGCGTGCCTAGTGGGGTTTTTGAATCACAGTTGCGTAACCCAGCTAGGTGCTTTTTACACGGAGGAATAGTGGTCTACCCGTTTCGCCAATGTACTCATCGCCGCATATCTCGCAAGAGATTAGGTAAATTATACCCGATCTCAAACAGTCGCCGTTCTCTGCCGTTCGGACAAACTTTGCAATCATTGGTTTCGCAGAGGCGGTCATACAATCGGTTGCGGACTAATTGACGCTTTAGTGTTTTTGGGGGTATTTCAACTATTGCTACCGAATTATCCAAAGCTGCTCTTTTTAGGCATCGTTTAATAGCTGTACTTATTTCGTTAGAGATAAAAGGCAGGAGGAAAGGAACATTATTTTCGCCAGACTTATCGTTTGGGAGCATAGAATTCCTCTGAATCTAACCTGAGAAGCTCCTACCGTATCGTAGCCATTAGAGATGGCTATTTTTCGCGCCAAGCTTAAGGATTCTACCTTGTGTTCTTTCCCTGTGCACACATTTGACGCTGTTCGGAACATATTCTTAAGTAGTGCGCGTTTTATGTGTGAAGGATGGGCTGATAGGTAGTGAACCAAGATGTTTCTATTGCTTGGTTTACTGACGACAGGCTCTGACGAAGGCGACCCGCCGAAACGTTAGCCACCTAGAATATTGTGTATTCAAGCTGCATTACTGACTGTATTGTTGTATGCTTCGCTAATACTCAATAAATAACATCAATAACACCTCGGAACGGCTAAACAGACGAAACTGTTCATTTATTCAAACTATGCCGAGGTTAATAGATAGTCGGTCTTGGGATTTACTGTAGACTGTTCCAGCCAAATATTACCGACTAGTAAAAGAAGTCTTGTCACTAACACAAAAGATCGTCTTAGCTAGACAGACAATTATTTACATCCGTCGCTGCTTAAAACACCGGGTCGTTCCTAACTTCATCAGACGAAAACGACTTCACGAACTATGCGGCCGGCCCAAGGAGGATCAACGAATTCTGGATATCGAAATGCGACTTCTCAGGGAGGCACTACGATTCAAGCAAGATCTACTATACTGACGAGGAGGGCCGAAACCTCCGAAACACCGGTGTATGGCCCTGGCGTCCCAGCCTCGTTTAGGCTAAAAACATTCTTTTTTTGGAATTATTGAATCAAGGATCTTCTTCTAATCGATCAAAGCCAGACGAAACGGGCTTTCATATTCTCGAAAAATGTCAATGGATCTTGTTATCTATGGATGTCTTTTATAGGACTAAATTCCCTTCAAAACCCGCTTGTTCCCATGGCTGTACTTCGTCCAGTGTTATGTTATTCCGTTTAGAATAACTCGAGTGAAGAGTTATAACGACAGACAACAAGCAGCTTGGAAATCAGCTGCTGATCCCATGAAGGTCGCCCTTTCTGAACAACAACACTGTCTTGCGGTTTTCTGCTTACATAGCTGTGAGTCATCGGTTTTTGCATTTGCTGTTCATGAAATCACACTTGAATCCAGCTTACTTTCTGAACATATCTTCTTCAGACTGTCACCAGATCCGGAAAAGTGGGCCTCATTGGCTCAGGGGCAGAGCGTCTGTCTAGTAAACAGAAGGGTCGCTGGTTCAATTCCAGCATGAGGCATTTGTTTTGCATCGGTATTCATGAAATCATCCTTTATTTTAGACGAGTTTGAACATAAGCCCCTACACTGGCATAAAAGCTTGAGAGGTGCGCCTTATTAGCTCAGGGGCAGAGCGTCTGTCTTGTAAACAGAAGGTCGCTGGTTCGATTCCAGCATGAGGCACACGTTTTTCATTGCTGTTCATGAATTATACTTTGAATCCAGCTTACTTTTCTGAACATATCTTTTCAAATTGTCAGTAGAGCACGGAAGGTGTTGGCCTCATTGGCTCAGGGGCAGAGCGTCTGTCTAGTAACAGAAGGTCCCTGGTTCGATTTCAGCGTGAGGCATTTGTTCTGCCATCGGTATTCATGAAATCGTGCTTTATTTTGAAAATTCGAAAAACTTTTGAGCAAATCGCGTAGACCGCTTCATCGACAAAACACCACAATACCGTTAACGAAATCCCTTAGAGTCAAACTAACATCAGTAATGTGCTAGATCAATCAAGGGTCACTGTGTTAGGAGGCATGTCTCTTCCCGATAATGCGCGCTCTCTCTTAGAAATGGGCCCAAGTTTCTCACCAGCGCAACCCATTTCTAAGGAAACCTTGTGCACTATCGCGTGCAATTTGCAAGAACTCCAAGATCGACTCCGCTATAAAGCCAGACTAGAATCAAACAACGAGCAGGAACAGCAAAACGTAGGAGCAATACCAATACCACCTTTTCCTCGAGCGTTCTTTAGGCAGCAAGATCCAAATAACAAGGTAGATGTCAATTTTCGCATATTCTCTAACGAAACTCTTAGAATCCTTAACCACTATCGCGGGAAAATGTTTAGTTCCAACCTAACATCGGCGCATAAAAGCGGTATGCGACAAATACGGGAACTAATAAATTCCAAAGCAATTAGACTATCAGTTAGTGACAAGGGAGGAGAGTTTGTAGTAATTCCCAATCAGTTAGATATTGCGATAACAAAAAACCATCTTGAAGACGCCACACTTTATCGCCCATCATCTGGTAAGGAATTCCAAAAACAGTATCGAAAATTGAACCAACAATGGGTAAAAATAGCAAGCTTGGCTGGTTTAAGAGCCTTCCGTTATCTCCCAGCTAAAACTTAGTCCACCATCATGTCCCGTCTTATACCTTACTTATTAAAACTCATAAGTTGGTATGCACTGATGATCTTTTGTCTACTAATCCATCAAATTTCAAAGTTAGACCCATCATCAGCTGCGTAGGCGGACCAACGGACAGGATAACGTGGTTTTTAAACCTAATACTAGTCCAATTACTAAAGCACATTCCAGCCCATCTCACAAACACCCAAATGTTCCTAGACCATTTACGTAACGCATCTCCAAACAACGCGTACGTGATGGAATCTTTCGACGTAATCGCCCTTTATACAAACGTGTCGAATGATTCCGCCATGCAAGCCATATACGAGCTTTTAACAGAGCACGAAAGGACCACAAACATGTATGGCTTCTCCATTGGGCAGGTTATGGCTCTCTTAAAAGAGTGCCTAAACTGTTCAATCTTTAGATGGTCCGGGAACTATTTTGCTCAAATCAGAGGGCTGGCAATGGGACAACGACTAGCGCCAACACTTGCTATAGCCTTTATGTCTAAAGTTGAGAGCCCCATAAACGAACTCCGGCCGGTACTCTACTGTAGATACATAGATGACTGCTTTGTCGTCTGCTCAACCCAAGAGGAGATGGACAAATGCTTTGAATTGCTGAACAGTCAGTCAGAGTACATAAAGTTCACCCGTGAAAAACCGAAAGCAAATTGGCTCCCTTTTTTGAACGTTCAGGTCAACCTGTCCCAAAACTCCTACAATACAAAATGGTACCGTAAACTAAGCAAAAAAAACATCTTGGTTCACTACCTATCAGCCCATCCTTCACACATAAAACGCGCACTACTTAAGAATATGTTCCGAACAGCGTCAAATGTGTGCACAGGGAAAGAACACAAGGTAGAATCCTTAAGCTTGGCGCGAAAAATAGCCATCTCTAATGGCTGCGATACGGTAGGAGCTTCTCAGGTTAGATTCAGAGGAGATTCTATGCTCCCAAACGATAAGTCTGGCGAAAATAATGTTCCTTTCCTCCTGCCTTTTATCTCTAACGAAATAAGTACAGCTATTAAACGATGCCTAAAAAGAGCAGCTTTGGATAATTCGGTAGCAATAGTTGAAATACCCCCAAAAACACTAAAGCGTCAATTAGTCCGCAACCGATTGTATGACCGCCTCTGCGAAACCAATGATTGCAAAGTTTGTCCGAACGGCAGAAACGGCGACTGTTTGAGATCGGGTATAATTTACCTAATCTCTTGCGAGATATGCGGCGATGAATACATTGGCGAAACGGGTAGACCATTATTCCTCCGTGTAAAAGAGCACCTAGCTGGGTTACGCAACTGTGATTCAAAAACCCCACTAGGCACGCATAGGGACCAAAAACATGCAGGAGTAATGTTCGGCGTCAAATTCACGATCCTCGCACAGGAATCAAGAACATCTGCGCGTAAAACATTAGAAGCATTTTGGATACATAACAAAGGTCCGAAAATGAACCGAAAAGAGGAGTGCCTCATAATCACGCGTGACCTCGAACCATACCTCAGGCTGATTTTTCCGGCCCGAGTTAGGCACAGCCCACTGATGCACTGACCTTAAGCGGCTTGTCTTCAATTAATAATTGATAGACCCAAATATGAAAAAACGGTGAGTGTTTTAGAATGAAGCTTTTACTATGCGATCCAAAACACATCTCTAACGTTTTCTGCTAGGGTTATGGGGTTTTTGGCTTAGTGGATTGTGGATCAATTTGATCTTTCCAGGCTCTGACGAAGGCGACCCGCCGAAACGTTAGCCACCTCGAATATTGTGTATTTAAGCTGCATTACTGACTGTATTGTTGTATGCTTCGCTAATACTCAATAAATAACATCAATAACACCTCGGAACGGCTAAACAGAAGAAACTATTCATTTATTTATAAACATTCTTTTTTTTCGGAATTGTTGAATGTGTATTGCGAGGTTTTAGAATCAGTCGATTGATGGATTAGTTTTTTTTCTACCAGCCGAAACATCGACTGATGGTGATGGACCAGTGTCATTGTCATTACTATGCCATCACCACATACCACATACGCCTCACTCCTTGCTACAGTGGCTTAAGTGGGGCGGGGGTCACTGACGAGGAGGCCGAAACCTCCGAAACACTGGTGTATGGCCCTGGCGTACCAGCCTCGTTTAGGCTAAAAACATTCTTTTTTTTGGAAATATTGAATTAAGGATCTTCTTCTAATCGATCAAAGCCAGACGAAGCGGGCTCTCATATTCTCGAAAAATGTCGATGGATCTTGTTATCTATGGATGTCTTTTATAGGACTGAATTCCCTTCAAAACCCGGCTTGTTTCCCATGGCTGTACTTCGTCCAGTGTTATGTTATTCCGTTTAGAATAACTCGAGTGAAGAGCTTATAACGACAGACAACAAGCAGCTTGGAAATTAGCTGCTGATCCATGAAGGTCGCCCTTCTGAACAATAACACTGTCTTGCTGGTTTTCTGCCTACATAGCTATGAGTCATCGGTTTTGCATTGCTGTTCATGAAATCATACTTTGAACCCAGCTCACTTTCTGAGCATATCTTTTCAGATTGTCACCAGATCCGAAAGTGGGCCTCATTGGCTCAGGGGCAGAGCGTCTGTCTAGTAAACAGAAGGTCGCTGGTTCGATTCCAGCATGAGGCATTTGTTTTGCATCGCTATTCATGAAATCGTACTTTATTTTGAACGAGTTTGAACATAAGCCCCTACACTGGCGTAGAAGCTTGAGAGCCGAGCCTTATTAGCTCAGGGGCAGAGCGTCTGTCTTGTAAACAGAAGGTCGCTGGTTCGATTCCAGCATGAGGCACACGTTTTGCATTGCTGTTCATGAAATCATACTTTGAATCCAGCTTACTTTCAGAACATATCTTTCAAATTGTCAGTAGAGGAGGAAGGTGTGCCTCATTGGCTCAGGGGCAGAGCGTCTGTCTTGTAAACAGAAGGTCGCTGGTTCGATTCCAGCATGAGGCATAAGTTTTGCATTGGTGTTCATGAAATCATACTTTGAATTCAGCTTACTTCTGAACATAATTACTGTTTTTCTTCTTTAAGCAAAACACGAGGTGTTACAATAAAATTTATTCACACCTGACGTTTCGACAGTTCGCCTTCTTCAGAGCATGGAAAGGTTAACTGTCCGCAATCTAATAAGCCAAACACCTCCAATACTCTTTTAGAAAAAGTCACCAGACCTAGATTTCAATCGCATCAAGCACAAAATCAACTCTCAACATACTCACCGCTTTTTATATGTGTTCCACTGAATGATTCATGTGGAGACCACCGGAAGGAGATCACATAGGCTCGTAATGCACCTTACCCATCAAAATAACAGTCTTATATACTGACTAAAATCACGTGTGATAACAAGGCATTCCTCCCTGCGGTTCATAGTTGGATTGGTGTTATTAATCCAAAGTGCTTCAAGAAGCTTTCGCGCTGATGTTTTTTGTTCCTGCGCAAGGATGGTGACTTCAATCTCAAAATCAGCTCCATCGTGTTTCTGTTCTCTATGCGTCCCTAGCGGGGTGTTCCGTCTTTTAAGACGCTTATCAGCTAGGTGTTCTTCTATGCGGGCATAGAGCGGCCTACCCGTTTCGCCAATATATTTATCGCTACACACTTTGCAAGAGATTAGGTAGACTGTACCTAAGCTCGTGCAATCACCGTCTCTGCCGTTGGGAGATATTTTACAATCTTTCATTATACAGAGACGGTCATATAAGCGGTTGCGAACTAGTTGGCGTTTTAGAGTATTCGGTTTTATTTCAATAAGAGCCACCGATTGCTCTAAACCCGCTCTTTTCAAACAGCGTTTTATAGCTGTACTAATCTCATTTGAAAAGAACGGGAGTATGAACGGGATTTTCCTTTCATTC